CAAATGGTTGTTTGTGGTGTTCAGATTGTCCTCCGTACTCGCTTCTCCGCTTCAAAATTTTGGGCTGATTGTGTCAAGTACAACTGCACGGTGAGTTGGTTTTTTTGCTTTTTTTGGCAGCTTCTGACTGAAACTCATATCCTTTAGTTTCTTGATTAGTTCAGTACGTCGACCCATTGTCACGTAAGCGTTAATTCAGCGTAAATTTATTGAACTATTGTGGATAACTTGAAAGTCCTTAGCCCTCTTTTTGTTAACTTTGTTGTGTGAATGGCAACATCATCACTAGCTGTGCATTTATGCCTCAAGCGCGTTAGTGACTGCAGAAATCATGGTGGTTTTTTAAAGGCTCAGTTCTGTCTGCAGGCGTGTTTTTGCACAACCACTTCGTCACTCCTTCGTCTCATTGTGCAAGCTGCACCGTGTGTACCTTGCTAATTACCGACTCCTGGAAAGCAGTGTTAATCCACTTTTAAGCTCTCTAATATCTTAGCAAGATACCTCGGCGAATCCTTTGAACCGTCATTAAGATTACTTACCTTGGTGGCTAAGCCACTTCATACGGTTTACGGTATAGCTCGCTCGAGTGGCTTGTTATAAACTGCGTATATTTGTTAGATGGACACCTGCACTATAAACTGTGGAAAGATATGTATAAGTCTAACCGTACAGTGCTTTTTACTGGGCTCTCCACTATCCCTTTCTCCCTGTTTTTAATCGACCCTCATCTCATAATATGTTGCTTCACCTTATAAAAGCGCCTCATTGTGGGAGAACTATTTACTTACTGGCTGACTGATTGACTAGTCTATAGCATGAAATGGCTTCTACATTGCAACATCAAGCAACCAAATGCATCACTGGTTATCCTTAAAGGATTCACATACAGCTCCACTACCAACGCACGCAAACGCCTACTCACAGCTCTGAGGCCATGCTTTTTCGTGGTGAGTGAACTGCAGGCAGAATCATGCGCTCTGAATAAAATTATTCACTTGCTGAAGACCAAACAGTAATTGAGGCTACAATCTTTGTCTGCTCTGCATGACACAACTAGAAGGTGTACAAGAAAAATCTTTTTTTCAAAAACAGATAGAACCAGTTGACCAGTCGGCGCCAAGTCGTCTCCCTACAACACAACGCAACGCAATACCTTATATCACCGCAAAACCTAACACTTGAGGATGAGAGATTGGCAGACACTGACCCCTTTTTTATCATCATCCTCATGTTCATCCTCGTCCTTTTCTGAGTCTCTCATCTTGCATATTCCCCTAGCTGATGTTTTTCCTTCCTAATCATTAAGCAATTGTATGATCACATGGGAAATGGATATTTGGGAGGCAGAAGTGAGGTAGTTCCGGAAGTGGCTGAAGCTAGGTTGTTTGCTCGTAGAGGCAGTGCACGAAGGAAAGATTGACAGCAAAAGCGCGTCTTGTTGGGAATATATTGTATCTTAGTGTTTAAATTGTGATCATTGCAGTGAAGTAAATATTTCAAGAACCTTTTTACGATTATTCGATTTTTACTAGGCAAAGTCTCTTAGAATTATTTGATTACACTAAACCTTCCCTGTGACTCTTGGTGGCATTTCCGAAATGTTTCTTGATTGTACAGTAGCACTATGGGTATCACCTCTCAACTTATTTACTGCAAAGAGGTAGAGCCTTATTCCCATGTATTAATGGTCAGCTTCTCGTGACTTTTATTGAAGTCTCGCTTTTAAATCGCTGTAGGTCATCCAATATGTTGGGGAAACCCTCCGCTACCTCCTGGCTCAACCATATACACCTGAAGAAACGCAGCACAAAGTTCGTCTGGCCACTGGTAATGGCGTTCGGCGTGAAATTTGGGTGGATTTCGTCAAGCGTTTTGGTATTAAGCGAATGGGTGAATTCTATGGTGCTACTGAATCAAACTCCAATCTTGCTAATTCGGAGAACAGGGTCAGTCGCTCTACTTTATGCAACCATCATCAATCCTATCTTACAATCATTGTACTGTAAAAGCCTGTTATCTGCTATTTCTAAAATAGGAATGTTTAGGTACTCCTTTTACTTATTAATGCCTCTTCTCCGTTGATTCGCGTCTAGGTTGGCTCACTGGGTTACACTTCAATCATTCTGCCTTCAGTCTACCCCGTGTTGTTGGTTAAGACAGACCCAGAGACCGGTGAAGTCATTCGAAATCCCAAAACGAATCTATGTGAACTGTGCGAGTACAATGAAGTTGGTCAACTTGTCGGTCGAATTAAGCGCTCCAGCCCTATCCGTAATTTTGAGGGCTACATAAATCGCAAGGAGACCTCACGCAAAGTTATTTCCAACGTCAAGTGCCATGGTGACCAGTATTTCCTTTCGGGTAAGGGAAATTGGAATTTCGCGATTGAGTCGTCTGGTATTTGCTTCTTACAAATCAGTCTCAGCGTTTTACTATCCATTTCTCAGGTGATCTTTTGGTTCAGGACGAATTCGGTTACTTCTACTTCGTCGATCGATTGGGTGACACCTTCCGTTGGCGTGGTGAGAATGTTTCCACAACAGAAGTGGAAAATTTGGTTGGTAAGGCGATCAACTTTGCCGATTGTGCCGTTTACGGCGTCAAGGTGCCTGGCAACGAGGGTCGGGCTGGCATGCTGGCACTGTCTCTTGATAAAAACGCGGACATCGGCAAGGCCATTGCCAATGGCCGCGCCGGTGGGAGTGGTGAGAGCGCAGAGGCTCAGGAAATTGAAGTTTTAAAGGACCTGGCCGACGTCTTTGCAAAACAGCTACCACTCTATGCTCGTCCGCTGTTTGTGCGATTCATGAAAGTGCTTGATACCACCGGTAGGTCATCATATTCTATTTTTATTTATCTAGCTTAAACGCCAACTGTTTTGTATTCTGTGTGAAAATGCACGCTCTCTACGTCCTTTTAAGGTGCTGAGGTGTCACGTGAGCTGCAAAGTAGTCGCACCGTAAAATATATTTTTAACATAATTTAAGCGCTCTTTGGAATTAGTTTTGGCCAACCTGTTATTTCCCCACTGGTGAGGATAGGAAATGCGCCATATTAGGTGTCGTATCAATTGTTTAATTTTTTTATCACATCTTTTAGACACTTTCAAATTCAAGAAGATAAACATGATGAAGACTGGGTTTGATATCACTGCCACGAAGGATAGAATTTACTACTTGAACACGAAGACAAATGTGTACCACCCGTTGGATGACGTTACGTACAACAGTATTCTGGCTAATAAATTTCGATTTTAAAATGTATAAATGTCCTCCACAAGCCAGGAATTGCCAACATTGTTTCCCCTTCTCCCTTTTGTGCTTTGGCTGTGTCTTCCCTCTCCTTTTCCTCCCCCTTCTCCTCCGCCTCCTATTGTGTATAAAAATCTGTTAATCCTCTTTACCCTCAAGCGATGAAGAAACGTGACACCCCTAATTCTCGTGCAGTAAAGTGTGACCGGTTGATGTGAGCTCTACGGACTCATTAGTGAGGACATTTCCGTTAATGCTTCGAATTTCCTAAATTTTTACCACTTATTATGTGAATAATAATGATGGCGCCAATATCGTGGTAAATTTGTGCCTAAATTTAATGATGCTTGAGACAACAGGGTTCTGCATCTCCTGGTTTCCAAAACAGGGCTGTTGGTTGGAGGGGGAAATCTTGAACCCACCCGAGATGCCGAGTTGTTGATTGCTTTGCACATTGATTTGATTTCCGCGTATCTTGCCATTGAAATATTCTCGAGGGCTTGCGCGTGTAAACGGTGTCACCGTAGCGGCATGACTAGCTTTCAACATTTAAAAGCTATGTTCTTTGGAAAGAGGTTTGGCTAACTTGGACACTACCTTTGTGTTGACCGCTGTGTGCGGAATGGAGCATGCTTTACTCGCGGACATGACAGGCAGGTGATTCAGAGCATGTCAGGAGTGGATGGGGGAGGCCGCGTTGGATTTTACTTTAAATTATGGCTTAACGGTTGTCAAGCCTTTCACTGTTATGCAAGTCGGCGTTTGTGCTGGTGGCGTGCAGATCCGCTGATGCCGATCATGCCTCTATTATCGATATGCAGGCTTGCATTGGCCCTCAAGATGACCCGTTCACTGTGTTGCAATGTTGGCTGAGGTCAATTATCTGAAAACAGGATGTTCGCAAGTCATATGCGTTTTGCTTTCAAATTAGGCTTTGCCTTCCTTGTAGGCCATGTCACTGAGCCATTGACTTTGGCGTTTGGCAGTTTGGCTCTCCGCCTTTCTACTGAAGTTAGTCAAGCAGGCTTTGAGTAGCTAAGGCAATCGAAAACTAAGCGAAATGGCCTTCAACCAAGAGGCAAGCTGGATAACATTAACAACACCTTACTTGTTTATCTCGTTGTTCCACTTTCAAGGCCACTTAACTCACCACGACTGTACTTCCGCTGGGCGGGTTTGGCCTTCGAGCCAATGGCGGTAGCCCCTACCCCAGCCCCCTCTTTACGACGATTACGCATATTCTGTCCCGGTTTTCACCAAATACACTGAATTTGTCGGATTATTTTGAGTTATTATCATTAATTATTTCTTGTCCTGTAAATGGCTTTATACTCTCTGTGTCAATAACACAAATCAAATTTGGTTTTTACTACAATACATCTTTCTGACTAGTCTATTCCATGAATCAACCACTGGGGGTTTGATTTTACACACTCCAGCGCGGAAAACTTAATTGTATTTCTACCACTGGGTGTAACCGCCTCTATTGTATGTCGGCAATGCAGGGAAGGCGTTTGAGACATCCACTGCGTAAATTCAAGTGATTGTCGTATGGGTGGTGCGATATTTCTTAACCCAAAAGTAAGTTAATTGTCACGGGCCTTGAAGGTGATCACGAAACAACTTAATCACTCTAACAGGGTGTGCTTGAGATTTGGAACTCTGGTGTCAATTTATTAACTAGGAAATTGTGGATTGCTAAACAGCATGACATCTTGTGTGATCGGTTAGTAAAAACTTGCAGCTTCTTCAATCAGATATTTTTTTCGGGAGTTTTCCTCTCTCTCTCTCTCTCTCTCTCTCTCTCTC